ATGAACACGAATCATTGTGTATTTAACTCAAATTTAGCTACAATAGGCTCTGTTCTTAACTATGAGTCATCTGTAACCCAGGCATTCTTAACCCAGGGACTATTGTAATGTAATAAAGGATGTGTTCACACAAAACCTAAACCAGAAAGATGCAACTCAAATGTTGGCTTAAACAAGACAAGTGAACTCATCCATATTCTGCCTACGTTTAGGTCTATTCTCTTTCCCAGGCTGAGGCTTCATGTGGTTTGTTTGGGGTGGGCTTAGCCAGTTTGGGAAACTCAGGCACTATGTTTAAACCATGGTTACATCTTGACACAAACCAATTCCACCAATTATGGTTTATTCAGTTAATGATTAAACAAACCACAATCTAGCATTCTGTGTGACCTCAAGCCTTACATTTGGAAAGGGAGGTTTAATTTAAAAAAGAAGAAAGTGAGTTGGATATTATCCAGCAGGAGGAAAACAACTCTAACCTAGAGAGGAAGAGCAAGCAGACTAAGATAAACAAAAAAAAAACTTCAAATCCTTTTCATTTCAGGAGCCCACTGCACCGATACTGCTTGGAGGAAGGTTTAAAATTTTATATTTAGTTAAGGCAACGCCACTTGCGGCAAAATCGGGGTTGACCATTCCACGTACCTACTTCTATGGGGACTTGGATTTCCATCATTTGCCCAAGTATCATCCCTGTTAGGGGGTGACAGTGCACCATATTGGAAGCACCTGGCTGGCCAAAGGCTTTTTCAGTGACTTACGCACAGCCGCTAAATCAGGGCAAGCATCTTTCGGGGCTGCTGTGTCTGCAGTGAAACTATCCGCCATCGCGTCCCCAAAGGAGGAGAAGGGAGGGAAAGGAAAGGACTGAGAACCTATGGGTAGCTTACCCCGCAAAGCCCGGTGCAAATCCGGTGAAAGGAGCGTCTCGCCTCGATACCTCAAGAGCTGAACCAGGAACCTTGATTTGCAAGCAATAGGAACCGCCCGCTCAGTAAAACCGAAAGTCCCGCGAAACGCGGCTCAGCCCTCAGCCTGCCTTTTAGAGGCGCCCCACCCTGCCCCTATTGAATTACAACTCCCGAGAGCCTCTGCGCCGCGGCTCTGCCTTTAGTCTGTCCCTCCGTCACCCGCCCTGAGAGCGAGAGAGAGATGCTCAATCCTGATTGGGCAAGACGGGCGACAGCCGCGTCCAATGGCGTCTCCCCTTTCTTTTCGCGAGCGGGCCTGCGGTTTCGTTTTGGGAACCTCGGCCCGGGAAAGTGGGCGGGGCTTCGTGCGCAGAAGAAGCGAAGCCCTCGGCGGGCACGCGCGAATGGGAAAGCAGATGATCTTCCTAGTTTGGTAACCGAGTGAAAAAATGGAGGGGAGGGGAGGGGATGTCCCTTTTGCTGCTTTCGGGAAACTAATGATCATCAAGGTGGTTTCTATTAGCACCTCTGCATGTCCTCTCAGCATAAAGCCCCAGCAAACCTCACGAAAGGCTTTTTTTCCCGGCATTGGTAGGAGGTCGGAGCGTGCCATCCTGGCTGAGCCATAAAAACAGTGTTTCTCAACCTTGGTAACTTTAAGACGAGTGGACTTCAACTCCCAGAATCCCCCATGCTGGCTGGGGAATTCTGGGAGTTGAAGTCCACTCGTCTTAAAGTTGCCAAGGTTGAGAAACACTGCATAACACCAATATGGGGCAGGGGGATTCTTCATAAGATTTTCCTTCTCTTCCTCTGTCAACCAGATGTCCATTCACCCAGTAAACACACACATCAGGGTCCCTGCCCATGGATGGTTGGGTGTATCAGGGCAGCCTCTCAGCTCCCTGTCCTCCTCCGTCCATGAAAATAAAATATCAAATGCACCAGCCTCTGCCGTCATCTATTTCCAGCTGTGTCTTTGGGCCAAGAGGCCCTCTGAGAAAATGAAAATGGGCATATGCCACATTCAAACATGTGCTTATCAGCCCTGGGGGGGAAAAAATACCAAGATAACCTGAGGTGATAGAATTGGGGGGTCACTGGAGATTCTCAAAAGCTAAACAGCCATAGCTGGACAGACGGTTGGACTAGAAGACCTTCAAGTTCCCTTCCAACTCTAAGATATCTTTCTTCTAAGCCTCCAAATAATTAATGCTCCATTTCAGTGGTGGTGAAATTTCTGGTTGTTACAACAGTGATTCCCAAAGAGTGAATCTAGAAGACATCAATGACTATACATTATTTGTAAACCATTACAACTATGTGCTAGATAGCATATAACGATTAGTTTATTTTCAGTTAAGGAATACATTAAAACCATACTAAAAACAGCACTGTAAAACAGTGACTCAAGAAGCTTTTGGAGGAATATCCAGGACAAATTAATATGATTTAAAGGAACTAGTGCAGTGTTTCTCAATCTTGGCAACTTTCAGATGTGTGGACTTCAACTCCCAGAATTCCATAGCTGGCCAGGGAATTCTGGGAGTTGAAGTCCACATATCTGAAAATTGTCAAGGTTGAGAAATACTGCACCAGTGTGTCCTATTTTTCACTTGAGTTGACTGAAAGTGACACCATGTCCTTTCTCCATGTCAGGATATTCTTCATTGATGAGGGATCCTATTAATTAACAAGTAAATAGATGCCCAGATCCATCCTATAGTGTCACTCAGGCCCCACTGAGCTGCAGCATCTCCATGATTAGTTCTGCTTACAGGGAGGGAAGCTGAAATAAAAGCAGGGGCATCGGGGGGGGGGTCCAAAAAGTCAAGATGGCGGCTGCAACCATGGGATCAATGTCCCACCTTTTTTTACACACGTCACACAGAGCACCCATCAATAGGGATGGGCCTTTAATTGCATAGCCGTGGCTGTCATCTTGACCCTTTTTACCTCCCCCACATGCAGATGCCCTGAAGGAAGGTTAGAGGCTGCATGGCCTTGAAGAAAAGTAAGAGACTCTCCTTGAAATCAGGAGAAGGGATAAAAGTCCTCTCTGGAAAATGAAGCTCTGGAGAAGGTAAATATATGTAAAAGTGTTCCCTAAGAGTTGAAACACAGTTAGATTTCCTTGATTCTCCCAGCTGGAAATTGCACCAGCCTTTCACTCCAACCAAGACCTTCTCCTTCACCAAAGTTCTTAAAAACTCCACATCGCAGACACCCCTATTTCCCACTGTGACTCCCCAGGAGTCATCTGCCTTCCTCCTTGTTTCTTCTTGGGAGGGAAAAGCAGCAAAATCTCATGGATCTTGAAAGGTCTCTCCAAGTCTCATACATTTCAGTTCAGCTGGATCTGGCTCCAAAGTGGTATTTTCTACAAGGGTAAGAAAAGAAGATGGTAAGTCCAACAGCTGGGATGAAAGAGCCCAGATTTAGAGATTTAGGTGTTGCTTCTCAAAACAGCAACTAGCAGCAAAATTAAGCAGGATCAGATCTGTTAGTGCTTGGATAGGAGACCACCAGGAAATCTCAGGGTTGTAGACTAGATTGGAAAGTCAACAACACAGCCTGGAGGAAAGCAATGGCAAAGCATTTCCACACCATTGCCAAGAAAACAATTTGGACGTATCTTATAGTAACTAGGAGCTGAGCTCAACTTAAGGCACATATACTTTATCTCAGCTTTTGCTCTCTAGTCTAGCTCACACTCCCTATCTTCGCTCTTAGCTTTCTGGCACTCCCAGCCTTTTTCCAACCAAGGGCACCCACAAATGCTCCAGGGCTGCCACAAGGTAGTTTTTCAGAAGATTCTTGCTTTCTATTTTAATATAATAGGGCTTCCCTCTCCCAGAGCAAACCTCAACATCTTGTGAGATTTGTAATCCAAGTGGTCAGACCAGTTAGCTGGGCCTTCTCTATATGTAGCCCTCAATGACCCGTACAGTGAAAAGTCATAAAATATTATTTTAAGAGAACACCAACAGAATAAACCTGGACTATACATAACCCCAAACTCAGCAGTTATGCCTTGATTCCTTTTGTATTTCTTTCCCTCCTGGGAATCCTTCTTTAAAGACTTTATTTTCCACCAAAACTGAATTCAGGTTTTTCCTCGCTCTCCATTGACAGCTAATAGTCTTTCCACCAACTCCCTTTCAACAAATCCTTCCCCTTATTCTTTTTCTTGGGAAGAAAAGAGCATTTTAAACCTTTAGGGGCAGTCAGCCCCTTCATTTATTTAAAAAACAGGTAATGCCACTTTCTAAAAGCCCTCGTGCTGAAACAGCCTCAGCTGCCTACAAGGGATACTGGCACAACCACCTTCTTGCCCACTTGATATCCACAAATCCCAGATATTTACCATTTTGTTTCTTCAGCTGATACCTAGATTCCAGAGTTTCTTGGAAAGGAGGAAGAAAAAAAATGTATTTATTAGATTCATATTCTAGACCAGTGTTGTCCAAACTTGGCCACTTTAAGATGGCTGGCTGGGGAATTCTGGGAGTTGAAGTCCACTCATCTTAAAGTGGCCAAGTTTGGACAACACTGTTCTAGACCAAAAGGCAATATGCACTGCCTCTTTTTTTTTTATTTTTTGCCATGAAACTATCCTTTACAATAGGTTGGGCAGAGAGAGAAAGCAAGCAAAAAAGAGACGTTGACCCAAAATCATTCAGGACCTTCTATGGCTGAGGATGAACTAGAACCTGGAACTCCTTGCTCCGAGTCCAACATCTTGACTACTACCTCACACTGGCCACATCAATGTGGTGGTAAAAGGAAACCACCCCCCTCCACACATATGATCTGCATTCACTACCAACTTTATGAGATGCGCCCCCCCCCCCCCCCCACACACACACGTGAACTGCTTAAAGTGCCCTTGTAATGAAACATTCACATAAAGCTGAATTGACCCTGAGGGTCCACTGAACCAGACAGGAACCAGTGGTCCAGTAAATACCTCGTTTGTATTTACTGACCCTATTTCAAACATGTTGACCCAGTGGGGAGTGATACATAAATAAGGTGGTCACCCAGATGGGTTTATCAAAAATATTCCAGGGTCATGCTGTAATTTTCACTGTGTGCCTTTTTGTCTTGTCTTCGAAATGGAGCAGGCCAACGGTATATAAGCTGCAGTTTTGCTTTTGATCAGGCCTGCTCATCAAGCCTCCAACGCTCTGTTGGGAGCCCAGTATATACTAGAGCTGTTTGTGTGCTTAATACACTTATGTTGCATCTTCAAAGTGATTTGGTTGTTTTAAGTGAGGCAGGTTTGGGCCAATAGGTAGACATTTTTCCCCCACAATGCCATTTTTTCTTATTTTAAAGTGAAGGGCCAAGGAGAAACAGAGATGGGTCTTCAGCATGTTCTCATATGGAAAAAGATGTCTACTGTTAGAATAACCTTTTTCTCTATATGAAGTCTATCCAACTGTTCAAAAACTACAGATGAAAGTAAGGACAGAAGAAAGCATTGCCAATGTCATCCATTAACAAGCAACCAAATGATTTCAGATAGAAAACTCTCCCACACAGTAAATCCATACTCAAATTATCCTGGGGGCTAAATCTACCACTGCTATAGTTTATCAAAACAGACTCCTATCCATTTAGTTCCTCTCTTCTCTGGGCAGTGTCTCTCCTGCTTGTTGAATAATCCTTGTAATTTTCAGAAATGCTATCAGGCTGGCATATTTTCTCCTTCCCCAACAAGCACAAGGTCCCCTCCATCAAAGGGGCAAAAGAATAAATAAATTACCCAGAATGGTATGCAATGCGGTCTACATGGGGCTACCCTTAAAGAGAACCCAGAAGCTACAGCTGCACGGACAATCTTGGGTGCCCCAAGAACAGCACGTGTAACACCTTTACTGCGGGAGCTGCATTGGGTCCCAGTCTACTTCT